TTAGTATTTAGTAAATTTGAAACATTTTTATACTTGATATATACTAGAAAACAATCAGTCATTATTTTTAATCTTTTGTAAAAATAATATATACACATTTTTGCTCCTTTAGGCCATTTTTTCTTGTTAATTTGCGCATCAGCAATGTCTATCCATCCATTAGATGTTTAATAAATGGTTCCTAAAGTGCCAATATATTTATCAATCTTTTCTTTCAATAAATTAACAGAAACAAAATTTTCGTGTACAGGAAGTAATTGAAAAAGATCTCCAAATAAAAGAATTTGTTTTCGACCAAACGAGCCATCATTCCATTCAGTAGTGTCATATATTTCGGATTATATACATTAAAATTTAATTAGATATCATTGATATTTCATCTATTATAAAAAGTATAACATCATTTAAATCCGCTCGTAGAACTTTCAATACATGATCAGATAATTGTTTATATTTAGGAATATGACCTGTTCAACAGGTAATTGAAACAATCTGTGAATTGTCAAATCGTCTATATTAAATGCAATATCTGTAGGTGCTGCTACAGCAGTTTCTTTATTAAGATTTTGTTTTATCCAACATTTAATAGTCTTAATTAGAAAACTTTTTTCAGTACTATCTTTACCGCTAATATGTAATCGTAATACTAATTTATTTAATTTAATAGTGCTAATAACTCTATCAAATATCTATCTTTCTTTTGATTCGTGTTTAATTTTTGTATGTTTATTTATGTTTATGTTTATTGATGTGTATGTTTATTCAGCTTCAAGACATAATAAAAAAAATAAAATTGATTCTAATTCTATTTCTATTTCTTATTCTATTTCTTCAATGTATTATATATTACAATATTACTTATTATTATATGTGACACACGTTATATCTTCTTTTTTATTAATACGTACAACTTCACATGAAGGACATCTATCAAAGAATATCACAGCATATCAAATAAAAAAAATGAGCGCTGCAAGAGCTGTCATACAGAGACATTCATTAGCGCCTCTTGCGACAGAAAAAGGAGAGTTACGATCGTCGACCAGGACGTTTCTTAAATTTATCAATTTGAACTTTGCGTCACGATTATGTCGCGATATCTCAGTTTGTAGAACAGAAAGAGAAGAAAAATAAAAACACTTTTCTGATATAATTTGATACTCAGTTATCGATTAAGCATAGTTGAAACTTAATCGATACAGTCATTGCTGAGATATGAAAATGTAGACCGAGTTCGTCCCGGGGTCTCGCGTAAATAGAACGGGCATCTCGCCGCCGTTCTACGCGAACTTCGTTGCGCGTGAACTTGGCGTCGAGACACTACCCGTCTCTTGATACAATGACAGCTATTCACGAAGTTAGCGCAACCAGAGATCCAGAGATCCAAGCGGCAACAATAAACTTCGAGATATTCGAGTATTGACTTAACATGCCTTTTTTTAGAATGGATAAATAAATAAAAAATGACGAAACAAAAAATTAATCAATCAACATTAAAATAAGCGTCAATAATATATATTCTACAACTATAATATATATAAATATAAAACATACGTTTCGACCTTAAATGTGATCAATATATTAATAAGTATAAATTTTATAAATATCGCAAAAATTGCTAACAAATCAAAATATAAAAATTAATGTTTTAATTTCTTACATTATTTGAAAGAAAGTCATTACTATAAAACCGCACTTAAAAAATGTAGAACAGAAATTAGATGAGGTACGTAAAATGGACGAATAAATAAACACATCTTTTTTACTATACTTATATACTATACTTATATACTATACTTTTTTACTACTTTTTCTGACAGGTAAAATGAAATCATGAACATATGTGAAAATGATTATAAACGTTATTATACCTGAAGTAAGCGTACAAATCTATTTATTTTTTTATTTAATTTTTTTAACACTGCAATTTTATAAATTTTTTTCAATTAAGTAACTTTTTCAAATAATATGACAAATTAAAGTGTCAATTTTTATATTATGACTTGTTGATGGTTTTTGCGATATTTATAGTAATTAATTTACTGAAATGACCGCATTTTAAGTAAAAACATGTACATTTTCTTTTTGTATTTATATATACTATCATTTTAGAATATTTATTATTGGCGCTTATATTCTGATCTTGGCTTATTTAGTCCTTTGTTTCATTATTTTTTTTATTTTATTTATTTTATTGAACTTTTATTGAATTTTATCTGTATTAATTTTATAATCGTAAAAAATTGTAAGACAAATTATATTGTAAGCTTTTATTTAAATATTCTTATTTTACAGATTTGTAAAACATTGCATAGACAGCCAAAACATTTACTCGATTTTTTGCTAGCTGAGTTGGGTACGAGTGGCTCAGTTGATGGTAACAGTCAGCTTATCATCAAAGGTCGCTTCCAACAGAAGCAAATAGAAAATGTTCTTAGAAGATATATCAAGGAATATGTTACATGTCATACGTGTCGCTCTCCAGATACCATTCTTCAAAAGGACACACGACTATTCTTTTTACAATGTGAAACTTGTGGTTCAAGATGTTCTGTTGCTAGCATAAAGTCTGGATTCCAAGTAAGTTATTCTTTATTTAAAGATAATGTATTTTTTCTTATCATTTTGCACTTTTACAATCAGCAATGACTTATTAATTAATAAAAATTACTAAATGAACATGTGTATATCTCCTGATTCATCGACAAATGCAAATGTGTAACAAGATATCAGTCAGCGTTTATGATTGCTATGAATGTTTGGAGGATGTTGTCAAATGATGAAGTTGACAAATGATGAAGTATTTGTTTATAATACATGTTTCTAACTATCTTACCTTCTAGCAATCGCAAATGCACGTAACACTGGGTAATCTATCTTGCTGTACGTTTGCATTTGCTGATGCTTTGGGCATTTCGGAGATCTTTATTAATTAATAATTAATATTTGTAATTGTAAAAATCGCAAAATAGTAAAGGACTTTTTTATTTAATTTGAAATTCTATTTGTAAACAAGCCATACCATTAATTGATGAAAGATCTCATGTATATGTATAGGTATATACATGTCGAACATGCATATATATAACATATTCATATACACATATTTGGGAAAAGTATTGTGTATATGCATTATGTGTATGTGTATGTATATGTGGATGAGGAGCTATAAAATTAATTATTGAATTATATATATATGTACATATACATGTATTTCATACTACTATATTATATTGTATGAATTTATATTCTTTGATTATTATTATTCTTAATCAAACTCTATGTGTATATAATTATAATACATCAAATATATTTTAAATATGAATTTTTTATATTTGTTTCAGGCTGTTACAGGAAAACGCGCTGCTATTCGTGCTAAAACTGCCTAAGCAATTCTTTAAGAAGATGCTAGTGCAAAAGTAAAATATTATGAAATATAAATAAACAGTACAAGTGATTGCATCTCGAATTGATTTAAATACAGAAATGTAGATAGTATTAACTTGGATTGTCGTAAATTTATTATTAATCCTAATATAAAGACAAACTAAAATAGTTAAGGTCTTACATAAAATCTTTAATATCTTAAATATGTAAAGCATCAAAATTTTGTCATTCAATTTTGTCACGTTTTATGAATTGTAATTTAATCCTAAATCTTTGATTTTTAAACACTAATATTTTTGATTATGAAAAAATTTTTTGATCTTGATTTTTGTGAAAAATTAGAAATTTTCTATTTTAAACATCTTTCAAATCCTAAAAGATTGTAAAAGGATGAACAAATGGGTTCAACTTTTCCAATATAATTTAATCAGATCATAAGTTTTATACATTTTAGAATTTATAATTCTCAAAGTTATTTGCTTTTCAAACTTATATTTGTTTTTTATAACAAATTTGGAAAATGTCAATAATTATTAAAATATGTGTAATTTTTTTATTTTTTTTAAACCATTAAAACTAATATTAATATACATAAAACAAATACCCACAAAATATCTGTTATCTTCGTGTCTATACATGTACAAAAGTTGTTTGTTTAAATGTATGAAGAATATCCAATTGTTATTAACAATAGATTTAAGCAATAATTTATTATATTCTATATTTGTATATATAATAATCAAATCAGAACAAATTTTTGCAAAATTATAAATTTACAAGTTATATAACTTTGCAAATCTAAAATATTTTGGAGAACAATTTTTCAAAAATTTAATTATTAGGTGTACAAAAAAAGTTAGGTGTACAAAAAAGTTCTGAGCTTTTTTTGTAAAATTTAATCTTTCATTCAAAAACAAACAAAAAAATATTAATCAGTGAAATATTCCCCGTTTTCATCAACGACCTTTTGCCATCTTTCGGGTAGCTTACGAATTCTTTGACGATAGAAGCTCACCAGCTTCGAAACGATAAAGTCATCAATGCATTTTCGTATCTCTTAAAATCTCACGAAATGTGTATCAGCCAAATGATGCTGCAGCGACCGGAATAGGTAGTAATCAGAAGGCGCCATGTTTAGGCTATACCCCGCGTGCGGGAGTAGTTCCCAGCCTAACGCAAAGATATGGTCCTGAGTCGCTTTCGCAACATGTGGTCGAGCATTGTCATGAAGCAAGATCACTTTACGATGTCCTTGGCCAGTAAATGGCCTCTTTTCTTCTAATACATCGCTCAAATTGATCAATTGTTGTTGGTAGCGGTCTGCCGTGATTGTTTCACCTGGTTGTAACAACTCGTAATACAACACACCTTTCCAATCCCACCAGATACAGAGCAAAACCTTCTTGGCGTGGATATTGGGCTTTGGCGTCGATGTCGAAGGTTGACCAGGGTCATGATTTTCTACGTTTATGGTTATCATAAAGAATCCACTTTTCATCGCCTGTAATGATTTTGTGCAGAAAATCTTTTTTCCGGAACTTTGAAAGCAAAGTGAGTGCAGTGTCACGCCGACGATTTTTGTTGTCTTCAGACAATTCATGCGGAACCCATCTGCCTTCTTTCTGAACCCATCATATGTAAACGTACGGAAATGGTTTGCTGCGTAACGCCAAGCTGTTCTGCAAGCTCCTTTTCAGTTTGTGCAGAGTTTATATCCAGTAGTGCTTGCAATTCATCCGTTTCAATCTTTTGAGGGCGTCCAGCACGCGGTTCATCTTCAAGACTGAAATCTCCTTGGCGAAATTTTTGATACCATCTTTTACATGTAGTATGATTTACAGCGTTCTCTCCATATGCAGCACAAATCATTGCAGTGGCTTCAGCAGCATTTTTCTTCAGATGAAACACGAAGTGGATGAAAAATTGAATATGCTTTTTTGTTATTGCCATCGTGAACACTATTGATTTTTGAGGTTATGTGCATCAAACGCCAAACCATATGGCATTTTAAAAGGCCAAATATCAACCCTTTAAAACCGCAAAAGGGCGGGAAGATATATAAAATTTAAATTGTTATTTCGGTTGTATGAAGTCTAAAGCTTAGAACTTTTTTGTACACCTAATATATTCATTTTAATTTGTCTTTCATATATGAAATGCTTTTAATTATATTTACTTTCATAAACTCTCGTATATTCTTCCTTATAACTCTTCTTTCTTTTATTTTCAAGTTCCTTCAAAGAATTTAATGAAAAACCTTTTAACAAATATGTATAATATAAATGTAATAAAAAGCTAACCAACTTATTGCAATCTGATCTTAAATTACTTTAAAGAATAATGTTAGTGTTATGTCAAGTAGCTTCTAATTCTTTCCTTATAAACGTGTACTTGATATAATAGAGCTCTATTATCACTTTCAGAACAAATTTGCAAGAATGAAGAGTATTTTCTGAAAATATTAATAAAAAATTTGGCTAACAAGCTTAGATAATTGATATATTATAGAAAATTGACTTCGAGATAAAGAAAAGGGTTGTGATTGAACTGATTTTTTCTCGACCGACTATCAGCACTGTTGCCAGAAATGAAGACGCAAGATTTCATTACACATATGCAATGCAGCATATGCACTCAGCGCTTTGTCTTCGGACAAAGAAAATAAACCTAGTAAACAAAATGTTAATATGTCTATATGTTATATATCAACATAGAAGACGGTAGTGGTTTTTGTGTCGGTTGTATTAATTTTATAGATTTGGAAATTCTTTTCCGCAATTAAACATTATCACATATGTCTAGCATATGAATTTTGTATCAAAATCCAGAAAAATTTGTTAAATTTAGACCAATTCTTTTTTTATCATTTGACACTTTAGTGTCGGTCCACAATAGGTGATTTAAGCTTTAAGAAGTAAGAAATTGATCAATTATAATCGAATATGAAAAGAATATTCGACTATGATTAGTCAATTTCTTACGGCTTAAAGATTAAATACTTATTGTGGACCGACACTTAAGCGTCAGAACTGTTAAAGAGGATGCTGAACTTATCTGTACTACCGATAGGATGCGATAATTTTTGTATCGCTCTTTTTTTAATTTTATAAATTTGGAGATACTTTTCCACAATTAAAATTTATACTAACACGTGGTTCGTGGTCGGGCCCTGTCGTGACGCACACCCTCCCTTCTTATTCGGGGGCTCGAGCCATGCTTGATGCAATCTCTCCTGTCGTGCTCCAGGAGGATTATTTGTATATTTGCCAATGGCGTTGGAGGGTGTCGCCGCTGCAGTCCAACCTGCATCCATTGAGAGAATAGGACCATCATCTCTCTGGAGTACCGGTCGTGGAGATTTGAGAGAATACATGTATATATGTATATTGTAATATACGTATATATGTGTATCGTATATATTGTAATATATTGTATATCGTGTATATTGTAATATACGTATATATGTGTATACGTATATATGTGTATCATTGTATTGTTGACGTGTTATTCTAAACACGTTATTTGCGATAAATATCATCACATACCTCGGTAGTCGAAAGGATGAGATGCCTGTCCAGTAAGCAGGAGATCCAGGTTCGATTCCTGGCTGAGGTGGTATTTTTTCGTAAAATAATTACGAGTTTTCACGACTGATTCGTGATCGGGCCCCGTCGTGACGCACACCCTCCCTTCTTATTTGGGTTTAGCATATGAATTTCATATCAAGAACGAGAAAAATTTTATAATTTAGATCATTTACCATAGATTTTTTTACCATTTGATATTCTAATATGGCATCCAGAGCTGTCAAATTGTATCGATATTTGCTTTATACAAAAATTTTGCATTTCTTGAACCTACAAAATTAATATTGCTAAACTAGAAGATTATATGAAGAAACAATATTGAGTTCTTAGAATTAGGCAAAATAATGTCATTCAAAAAGGCAATACGAAAATTTATTCATATGTGTGCAGAAATGTATGTATAAGTATATGTATTATCACCGACGAGGTACTGTTAAAGACTGTTCAATCTCGATCCGTCCTTGTCTCACAAAATCGTGGACATTACCTACAGTATCATGGACATTGGCTATTGAAAAATATTTATTAGATTCGGAAAAATAAACAGAGATCGACTGGATTTGAACTCGCGATCCCTCGCTTACTACCAAGACATTTAGTCTGCACGACCGCGACGGCTCCTCTTTGTTAGCTGTTTATATTCCGAATCTCTTTCATGACCGCTTACGGTCGACTAATTCTTACACTATATAGTTCAATGCTCACGTTTTTATGGACATAGAGGCGCTTCAAAATAAAGTTATAGCTAAATTGCGAGCATGTTCGCTCTTAGGCTCTGCAGTCAGTCTTACAGAAGTTAGCATCATCATCAAAGGGGATAGTTGAGGAATGTTGATATCGACCGTTTTGATGAGGATAACAAAGGGAAGATAACGTTTATTTATTACTGTCATTATGACAGATTTAATTTTAAATTAATAGTTCCTTTTACGAACTATTAATTTAAAATTAAATCCACCATAACAGTAATAAATAAACATTATCCTCAGTACAGTCAAAACGGTCGATAATATCAACGTTTTTCAATTATCACTGGACTCCCGGGGCTCCTTTGGTGGTGATGAAAATTTATCCACGGTTATCGGTCTTGGTAGACATCAGGAGACACGGTAGTGTCTCGGGTGTCAAGTCAACCGACTGTGTGACTACGCGAGTCAGCGAGATGCGAGCATCAACAAATTATCGGATCTGAATAACGTTAAATCAATCAAGTTCTAAGTAGACTTGATCGTATAGCTTGAATTCGACTTGCATAATAAAAGTATTTTATTTTTCTGCTATGTGTCCCACAAGCAGAGATATTGCTATGCAAAGTCCGATTTGGAAATTTTTACTTTAAGAAACGTCGTTTTTACTTAAGAAACGTCATTATCGTCGTCGCCGGGTTCTCATCTACAGTTGCAATTTTGTCACGGCGCCACTGTCCAATGTACACGCACCGGCGAGAATGATGTCTGTACGTTCGGCGTGCAGCCGCTACACATCATACGAAGCGTGTATGTCCGTGTCTTCGCGGAGCGTGAAAGAGATCGCGGAGCGGAGGGAAAAAAATAGTGAGGGCAATTCGATGCTGCATCCTTAATGCGAGACGATTGAGAGAGAAAGCATAATCGAACGTGATTTCCCTTTGCTGTCTCACACACTTAATGCTAGTGCGAGTGAGAGACCGCGGTATCTCGATACATCGCGCTTTTCTTTCTTCCTCTTTCGTTCTGATTAATTATTGATTATTCAGTGATTATTTATTTATTTAATGATTATTTAAATATAATTATTAATTATTTAATTATCGCGTAATAATTCTTTTATTATGTTTTAAAAAAAGTTACGTATAAAATTTCAACTATCTACTGCGGTTTTGGACATTGAATGTCTTACAACTATCTCAGGCAGCCGATATTAAAAATTATTTTAAAAAATAAATTCGCGAAACTGTATTCAAAAATAAAGAAGATTATATTTAATAATAATAAAAAGTTATTAGTAAATAAAAATGTGAAAATCAAAATAAATATTTTTTGAAATGAATATTATGTTGTAAATTTAAAATTTAAATTTGCAATAATGTAATTATATAAAGTATTATTTCTATATGTAAAAGTATTATTTCACGTTGCATTATATCATATCATTTCTATATACTTACATTTAATTGTAAATCTTATAACACAAGAAGTTTATTTGCACTTTAAAAATGCAAATTTAAAAATGCGCGTAAAACTGTTACATTCAAATCGAAATTGTCTCGAAATTGTCTGCAACGATAGTAATTTTACATGTAACTTCTTTTTAATGTATAATAGAAGAATTACTACGCAATCATAATTAAATAATCA